CGAAGAGCAGGCAACTGGTGGTCGTTAGTGCCCTGCGTTCCTTTGTCTACGATGTATGCACACGCACCGGGTGCACGTTCGGCCAGCCAGCCCGATATAGTCGCCGGCCGAAAACACTACTTCTAGCGTCTAGCAGCTGGCATTCGGCCAGTACCGTAGCCGACACCCGTTCCGGGGGCTCGCCAGTCTGCGGCCTGGTCCTCGTTGTTGCGCGGGGATTACCGTACGCCGTGTAATTACGTCGGTTTTCCCTTCGCCCTCGCTTTATCCCCGTGTATTCCACTCTTTATCGCCGGCTCGGGGCCGCGCCGCGTGCGAACGCGCCTCCGAACGCCAACGTACGCCCCCTCGTCCCCCCTCAGCACCCGTCGCGAGCATTTGCATCCCGTTAAACGTCGTAAACTTGTCAAACCGAGCAGTTATACGCGGGATCTCCGGCCGCTGGGCCGGAGCCACGTTTGCGGTGTCGTCCGCCATGCCGAAACGGAGCTTCGGACGGCCCAGGCCTATCCGACGCCATTATTTCTCGTGCTTAGACTGCAGACGGGTTCCTACAGCTGCGTTCAACCCTTTGCGGACGAAGATTCTTGGAAGTATACGAAATCTTTTGCACATTCTGCTAGATTAAACGCTGAATGCTTAAATCAGAGAATAAGGGAACTGTGTACTGATTTCTTGCTGCTCGAACAGTTCAGTCGTTTGTTCAACTGGGTATTACAAACATGGAAGTTTGATCTCAACAAAATGCCGACAGGTTAATACCTTCGCTGCGTGTTGTCTACCTAAGCGATTTTTGGAATGGTTAGCGATCTTTTACGGTGGAAAGTTTCGTGCTGGGTTTCGGTGTCGGGAGCTGAGTTGCGGACGTGTTGAAGCGTTTTTGGCGCATGGTTGTTTGTAGAATAGAGGTTTCGTCGTTTTCAGGGATTGACGAGTGCCTACGATACCTTTGAAGCGTTGTGAATCGCGATCAACTTTCGACATAGTTAGGAGTTCGTTGACAGCAGCTCGCCGTGGCTGTGGAAGGTCCAGCTCCCGGGTTAATGAAGAGTGAAAAGGTACACTCGCCGGTAATGAAATCAATGTGTGCCTCGTGAGTACCCACTAAAAATCATACAGGTCATTTAACACTGAACATACTGTCCTACAGATACACTGCTCCGGTAACGTTAACATCGTTGTCGTTTGATAGGGACTCCACGCGGCGTGAGAGTTTAATGTAGTTGACACGTATCCGAGGCATTAACGAACGAGCGTCGCGAGTTTAATTGGAACCCGTAGCCGACGTTCTTTATTGTCTCTCGAATAATTGTGCGCAGAACGAAGGAGGTGTATCTATCGGCGACAAGAATAAAGAAGATCGAAGCGACAACCCTCTGGAAATGATGAAAGAAAATTGCAGCTTCGGCTTGCATCGAGAGGCACGGTTCGTCGTGCGCCTCCGACGTTGCTCGTTCGAGGAAAATCACAATTTCCCGGCGGCACGGGGCGCAACCTGACGTCAATTTCGCAGGGCAATAATTGTTTCTTTTTTCCTTTCGATCCCCGCGATTCCCTGCACGTGACTATCGATTACCCGTGCCTCGGCGACCTAATTGAGTGCTCTATTTCCGAAGTACGATTATCGTTATAACAGGTACGAGACGGAAGGGCAGAGCGGGCCGAGCTGGCGGGGCGGGGGCGAAGGTGTACGGCACGGAGGAAGATTACAATTTCGCTTGCACGGCCAGCCCCGGGGACAGGCATTCCCAGGCTTTTATTTCCATCGTAGCTCCTAACGAGATATTGATACAGCAACGAGAGAGGCCAGCTGTAACTTTCTGCCGGGCGGATCTCTCACATATAGACTTCGTCCGCAGTCACTCGTCGTTACGCGGAGGATGGGCTCGGTAAATCCACGTTAGTATGTGCGGAGGGTTGCGAGCATAGCCTGTGTAACCACCCTCCTTGTTCTCGAGCATCGTCCATAACGTCGTTCCGGAGTTCCTCGACAAGCCGTCGCACGACTTGAAAATTTATTATCGAGATGCGAGGGAAAAAGCGAATACCAGTCTTTCCGATCGGCCGTCTTGCTCCGCCGACGTCTCACCCCCGCCGAGGAACGCACCGACACTGGATTACCGCCGGCTAATCCCGCATCGAAATTCAGACTACCCTTGTAGCAGTTATTTTTAGGGAAATCCCACGTGAAACTCATATATCAGAGAATAACAGGGTTTGTCAATGGAAATAACAAGTATAAAGACTATGACGATACTTTTCACGAATTTTCCTTTCCCAATGTTGTCTTCCTCTCTGATAGAACTCATCATTTTTCTCACTCGTCTTTCTATGCCGATAGATCTGATGATATATGGTTGGAAGAAGCATGTAGAAGAGTTTCGCCTCTAATATAGACGAAACTAGTGGCCCCCATACACGTTCGAACGCTACAAGCGATAGATTTGAGTCTTTCAGAGTTTCGTGATACGCGTCGCACTCGAAGAAACAGTGAAAAAGGCTCAGACCCATCGCTTGTAGCGACGCCAGCGTGTTTCAACGTGTACGAGGCCCTTAACGCGCGGTTGTCGCGATCATTGACAGCATCGCGCGGCGCCTCTGAGATTTTAAACATCGCGACTCGCAATGACACCTCAACGAGACGCGCGAACCGCATTGTCTTAGTTGACGTGCGAGCATTAATTAAGCGTGCTGCCCTCGATGCACTTGTTACAAGGAATGAAACGGCGGATAGGGGAAAAAAGATGGGAACTAAGCTCGGGTAAACGCTTTGAATCTCTAACGAGTATACATTTTATAGGCGATACGCGGTATCGAGCCGGGAATATAATAAATACGTCCATAGAAATATGTTCGTACGGGATGAACAAATAAAATCGTCCATAAAATGTCGTCGTTACGCGGTGAATTCAGCGCGAGCGCGGCGCAAGAGGGAAATTTGTTCTTATGCGGCGCGCACAAACGGGCATTGAGCCCTCGTAAAGCCAACTTGTATATAACGTCGCTTAAACGTACCGGGATCGAGTTCATCCTTTAGACAAGCACGATGCATGATTTTCATCGGCGCAACTATGACGTTATATTGATGAAATTAATCCGAGGGAGAGTCCGAGAATGTCGATGCTTGCAAATATGTTCAATACAATGTTGCCGCGTCGATCGATCGGTTCTACGTTGACGGAATATAAATGCTCGATTGAAAAAAACGACTGTTAGACATACTATAACTTCAGTTACTGATAACTGTGTTCGAGATAAGGTATAATTCGATAATTAAAGTCTGAGGATAAAAGTTCTAAGGGATGAATCATTTAATTCGCAACTCGACAGCGATACGTTTCAATCAATGGAGGAGAAAGTTCAATCGGTGGAAATATTTTATCCGATAAACGATCCATGGTTCGAAGTTTTATTAGCTTCATCTTAGATAAGTATCGAACTCGAGTTCGTGACGAGTAGATATCGAACACGCAGAAACAAATTGTAAGGAGGCATAAGATAAACATTTGCTCTGAAAACAAATCAACCTACTTACTTCACCCCATCCATAGGGGTGCAAGATAATGAGGACGAAGGGAATGGCAAAGAGATATAGCGGAAATTTACACACCATTGTTTACGTGGATCATGTTTACGCATGATTAAGGGATGCCCTGAAGTTCTATGCTCACGTGCGATAGGGGTGGGCAAATTTTCCATTGTGACGCGACTGAAAGTAATTTACTTTGAAACGAAACAAGTAAGTTAGCCAATGCACATGACGCTCGGATTAATGTCCAATAATTGCTCTGATTTATGGAGATTTATTTAAATGCAGAACGAGCAACAGAGTGCGTATAAAGTTCATTAATTATGGAATACAAAGTTTGGAGGAACGCAATAAATCCCGATGAATACATTATTTTAATTAGGTAATGAAGTGGCGTCGGTGCTGCCGCCAAAATATTGGAAACTACGAAAATAATGTTCTAACCGGTTTATGAACAGCTGTGAACATAGGGAACTGTAAATAGTGCGTCGGTGATATAGAAACCGGTAGAAACCTTCATCACCGACGATGGATAAAATAGACTGAACATCTTATCAGACTTCGTATTCGATAATCTGATAAATTTAACAATGAAGCTAGAAAATAAACAAGAAGAAATCTTTTATTTATTTATTTTCACTAATTCGTGCTCTGTTGGCGATACTGTAAGTGACGGAAATTTACATTACTCTTCAGTCTGTCCTATCATCTGTCGATGACTTCATTTCCAAGTTCTGTTATTTACCAACAAAATACTGTTCAACTACCTAATTGTCTACAAGGTGAGAGTGCTGTTGTCTTTTTCGAATTTCTACATTGATAAAGAAATGGACTTGATGAAAGAAAATTATAGGATATTTATTTTAATCTTACTTTTCGTCTGTGGTTATACTATCGACAAGAGATAATTACTCGTCTTTAATTATACCTTTTCCGAACCTGGTGTCATCTGTCGGTAGAGTTTGTCCACCAGTTTGTGCGGCTGACCACGGATGGTGCCACCAGTTCAAAGTACAGACTTAATAAAATAACATCCTTTCCCATAGTAAATTACAATCAGAATGACGAGAATCGTTGCAATTTACATTGGCTAACATTAAATCAAATATACATCATCTATTTTTAATGCAACTATATTAAACGTGCCTTTAGAGGTAACGAAGCCTCATATGATTTTCATTTTCCGAATGATTAATTATGTAACTAACAACGTGCTGGTAAACCGACATTAATAAATTATCTTCCTAGAGTGAATTAATTATCAGAAGTTTTGTACGCAAGTCAGAAACATTTTCATTCCGGTACATTCAAATTTACACTCACAGTCTGCCGCGGTCATATATGGCGCGCATGTAATTAGCTGAAGCTTGCTATTAAATAATGGGGTCGTACAATAATCATCTTTATGGGTGATCCGCATTAACCTCTGGAAGGAATTTCGCTCGTGAAATTACAAATAAATCGGCCGATCATGTTGCACGTGGAGCACGCTTGCGAAATCCAAAAGGAAGAGGACGTGCTGTTCCTTCCTGGCCGAGGACCGCTACGAAAGGTGTACGATCTGCTTCGATTGGCGGTGATAGCCTCGCGCAAAAATCCAGGTGCCCGCAAGTACCTGGGGAGCACCGCTTTCATAGTCTCGGAAAAGCGCCGACAGTTGCGGAATTACATGCACATTATTCATCCTTTCAGTATGTTCAGGTGATCATCGTTCCATGGTACACGCGAAATTAATCGACTATCCGGTAAGCCCTTATTAACCTGGATGAATGGATCAAGCTCGTCTCCACGGTTAAATACTGAAATCGACGGACAATCCGTGGCGAACGTTAACTCTCGTTGATACTGTTTCACAATTAGCTAATCTCGCGGTCGTTACAGCCATGCCTGGGACTTCTTAATGATATTCCTAACGACTACAATGCTGATACTCATTCCATACCAAGCGGCGTTCGCAATGATTCAGAGACCAGTGGCCTGGTCCGTGACGAAGAATTGCTTCCTGCTGATAGCCTGCATAGACATGGGGATCAAATTCAGAACAGGGTAAATATCCGCTAACACCGATACTATCTAATAAATTCTAACTCTCTATTACAACAAATTCCAGTTACATGGACGAAGAGGAACACGCGGTGATACTAGACCAGAGAAAGATAGCGCACCGATACATGAAATCGGGTACCTTCTTCCCCGATCTGATCGGCTCGTTCCCAACCGATCTGTTATTCTCGACCGCATGGAACGAGCTGAAAGTGTCCCGCAAGGTGGCTTCATTGGTCTGCATCTTTCGCGTGTTCTCTTTGAGCTCGAGCATCAGCAGAGTCGCTCACGCGTACGACATACCGCTGGCTCTCTACGAATTCTGCATCGTGATCTATTGGCTATTGATCAGCCTCCATTGGCAATCCTGCGCCTTCTGGCTGGTGCCGATAGCTTCGAGCTCGATGGGAGTGCCTGTGAGGCCCCGCAACGACTCCTGGGTGATCGAGTACAATCTCTGGGACGTCTCGAAGGAGGAACAGTACTTCTGCTGCGTGCTGCGCGCCATCACTACGTACGCGAAGTCCGGGCTGCTTCAGCCGCACGTGACCAACCTGCCAGATCTCTATCTGATAATCGCGCTGCAGATTCTAGGGATTCTAACACCTTGGATCCTGGTGGCCCGCGTGATGCAGTTCTTCAAGGGTACGAACAGCTCGAGGCTCAGGTACCAAGCCACCATGGCTCAGCTGAGACAATACATGAGACACAAGCACCTGCCGCACCACACTCAGACGAGGATCACCGAGTATTACGAGTTCCACTTTCAACGTCGCTACTTTCGCGAGTCCGAGATCATGCAGACGCTGTCCTCGCAGATGCGCCACGAGATTAATATGCACTCCTGCCGCAAACTCGTGGAGAACGTCACTTTCTTCAATAATCTACCGTTATCGCTGCTCGGACGGATCGTCGGTTTATTGAAGTCGGAGATCTTCCTCACGAACGACGTGATCGTAAGAGCGAATCAGCCGGGCAACTGCATGTACTTCATAGCCACGGGGACCGTCGCGATCTACACGAATTCGGGGAAGGAAGTGTGCCACTTGGAAGACGGCGCGCACTTCGGCGAGGTCGCGTTGGTGATGCCTAACGAGCTAAGGGTCGCCAGCGTCGTCGCCGTTGAAGTGTGCGAGCTGTATCGGCTGGACAGAGCCGACTTCGCCAGGACCATACATCCTTATCCCATGTTATGGGAGAGGATCAAGAAAATTGCTATCGAGAGGCACGAGAAGACGATGATTTTAAATGCTCAGTAGATTGGTAACGTGTTGCACAGGTAGACGCAATGGAGCGTAAAGACGTTAATCTAAGGATCTTGGTAGACTAATCGCTTATAATTACACCGTAGACGCAGGCAAATGGGCATTTTTATCAGTTCGATCGGGAAGATTATCATCGGCGGATAGTTACTTTCGCCAATGAAGAGATTTAGTGAATTAATGTTAATGCCAGTAGATAATTCTGGCCGAAGTAATTATTTGGTTGCATTTTACGCGCCTGCGTGTTGGACGAGTGCATAATGATCCGCGGTCTACGCGTCATTTACGTCGGTTTCCCAGGATAGAATAGAATTCTTAATATTACGTCTGATCTAATCGGATAACGTCCGTGCAATTTAATCGTTATTTTATCGATATCGATGTCATTCTACGTTTACCATACTCCGGATAAATATTGCTTAATGAACTTTTCGAGAGCGACAGCCATTACGAACCAATTAATCATTCCTCGTAACGTAATGGAACAATATCTCCTGCGACTATTATTTATCGGGAAATCATTACGGTTCTCCTCGATATAGCAGTCGTCGAGAAGCCTATTAACAGGCTTCCGGTGAGCAAAGTGTTAAGGGAACGATCAAAGACGAATTGATTCGAGGAGAGGTTCTTCATTTGTCGTACGCGCCGCTCTAGTGGATCCAAACGTTGGATCCCAATATATTGTTATCGTAATGCCGGCCCTCGAGGAATCCCCGTTAGACCATCAAGTTCAACGAATCGTTAATGAGCGCTGAAGATAATAGCAGGGAAAATTGTTAAAGCTCCATTACATCTCGAGGATCTGATAACTGTTTCTCCTGGGCTGGCATTAGCGCGGAAGATTTATTGGCGCAATTGCGATGATTTTTGCGCTCGGTAACAGTAGACCAGGATCTCCGGCGCTGATCAAGGGGATCGCGGCGCTCCGAACAGACAGCACTGCAATTTTCAGGGTAAGACGACCCATTACATCGATCGTGAAACGAATGTGGAAATAAAGGGGAAAAAAGCGCCGCGCGATTTAGTCATCTTTCATGGTGCGTGCACCGAGACGCAAGGAGTCATCGGCGTATACTTAATCTTTCGCCACGGAGCTTCATAAAACAAACTTCCCAGAATGTTCACTCGGAACACCCGAAAGCGTAAGCTTCCTCGGGTCCACCGGTTACGTAACGTTAACCACCGTCCGTCTCGTTGGCAACGCTGAAAAAGAATCACCGTCGCGAAGCTCCTCGAGATCGACGCCGAAGAATCGTTCCCACTTTGCCGAAGCAATCGTCTCGAAACAAAAAGTGCAGGAAACAGGTAGTATCTGCACAGATAAGTTCTTCGGCCCCGAGGCACGGGTGCTTCTAGGTTTAATGCGGTTCTTTTGATAGGACGCGCGGGAAATATGTGACAATCGGAACGGCCACGCCGCGGAATCACGGGGCGTTAACGTCCCCGCGGCAATTTGAAAAATTAGAAATGAACACTGCGGCTGTCTATTATCGGGCGAGAGCGTTCCATTAATTCGCCGTAAAAGCACCGGTCCCAACCCGAGGTCGATCATCAGGCCGACGGAGTCGCGGCGTTGGCGCGGAGATAAGGTGTCTGAAAGAGCGCAGTAGATCGTGTCGCGGCGACGGGACGGGACGGGCCGGGCGGAACCGCGCGATGCTGCATTTAGAAGGGCGGGTGAACGCGTTTCGTCGGGGTTCGTTAATGCCGGCTAGAATCTGGTCATCGTTACATTTAATGCCGCGGTTATAAGGCTCAAGGTTGATTGTCCCCGGTGTCTCTCTATATTTACATTCAGAACGCTCGCCGCGACGAAGGGAACGGATCTGATTTACTCGGCCGGTGCTCGCTTATCTCCGCAGATTCGCATGTCTAGAGCCATCCCGACCGGTTCTACTCGGATATCTACGCCGCGCGATCCAATGATACGTAGCCCGTTATTAATGAATACGGTTTTCACTGCTGCGGAGATCCTCTCGTTTTGTTTCCCACCGGATTTCGTGCGCGCTCTCGCCGCCGGAAAGGGGCACCGGTATCCCGGATTCGTCCAATCGCGGGGCGACGTAAATCATCGACACACGCGTCCCCCGGCCGGAATCATTAATCGGGAATTCATTATCGCGCCCGGAGCCGAGTCCGTAATCGTCGCCATCAAACGACGATGTATTTATTTAGCCGCGACGCATTAAGGATCCCCAGGAAACTCGCTAACCTGAATCGCTGGCGCCCTCCAGACGGTTTTTATTCCCCCGGATTATAAACGCGGGGGAAACGGTGCGCTCGAATGGCTAGCGGCCGTTTACGATGCGCCTCCATTTAACAAGGAACGTGGCTTCGCGTTAATACGCGGACGCCGCGTTCCCGTTTCTTCCTAAAAAGGATTCGAGGATCGACCGCGGGATTTTTCGTCCAACGGGCTCTTCGCTAGACCCTATTGGCGAACCTGCGGTTTCAGCTACGGACGGGGCTAATCGGCGAACACTGGAGTCGAAGTCCTTTTTTCGGAGATCAGAGTGAAAGGATGTTCAGACGATTTGCGTTAGACAGTTAAGATACTTGTATTGTTCTCAGCGATTCCATGAAATCAACAAAATTATATGAACTACATCTGAGAAACGAAAATTGCAGCTTGAATTCGAAAACGTTCGAAGCTCGCGAGGCTCGGAAACTTGAATTCCGTCATGAATTCCCATTGTCTCCGCGTCGAAGAGGAGTTCATTGATGTTACCGCGAATGATCCACTCAGAGGCGCCGATGATCGGGTCGCGAATCGTCGGCGGGGCCGATGGCGTCGCGGTTGCGGAGAGTGCCGCCCATCGGGGCAAAACAATGGTTTGTGCGCATCGACGCATGGGCAGAGAGCCAGCGGCCGATGACAATGAATCGCTTAGAAGGGCTGGCCATTGTAATAGGTCGGCGATG